GACAATATAAGACCAAAAAACTGTCATCAATTAGAGCTGCCTGTAACCAGTTAGTCGAATTTTATTTGTCTATTTGAATTTAAGCACTAGAAGATAAAATAACGACTAGAATGATATTAGAGCTGTCCTTATTCGCACAAAACTATCCTCAACAGAACAATATGACTCCTTAAGTATAAAAGGAACCTCCAAGAGTTAAAGAAATAAGATTAAATGAGAAGAGCCATTTTGAACAAAAAAGTCAAATATCTTTCACCAAAACACTTGTCTTGCATTCTAATTTCAAAAAAATGTTTGAACTTGATTGTAAATCTTTCTAGATTTGTAAAGAGTTTTAATTGTACTTTTTTTCTTCTCTTTTTTAGAAAATTAAAGTTTGAGAAGTACTCTACAGCTTGTTGTAAAGGATTAGAACTTAGGTCAAAAGCTTACCTTGTAAAAGCTTGGTGGAAGCTGTTAATTTTATTGGCATAGTGATGTTAGATTGAAAATCCTTGATTGGAAGATCAAAGCAATGGATGTAGGTCAAAGGGACCTAACTGCTATAAATACTTTTGCATTATCCACTTCTTTCTACCTTTCATTACTGAGTGTCTTTCAACTATTATAAACTTTAAATCTTTCTTCTTCCGACTAGTTCAAAGTTTTTTAATTTAAAAAGGTTGACCTTAAAATTTGGCATGCTATTCACTTTCCTGTAACACTCCAACAAGACCAACATGATGAACAAAGTGACATGCATAAGCCTTTGAAAAAGGTAAAGATTAATAAAAATAGATTAAAAAGTTCTTATATCTAATATGCAGATAACATAATGATATTCTATGAACCAAAATTAGAGGGTCTGTTGAATGTCAAGAGAATACAAAATGTTACCAAATCATTTTGGGGTTGGAGATTAATTTTTTTAAAAAATATCTTTAGTGTGGGTATTGATAAAGAGGTCATTAGGAACTAAGGAGGTGGGATAACATTCAAGGTAGAAAGGTCAGCCACAAAGAGGAAAATAGTTAATGTTGATTGGGAGTCTATCTACAATAATAAAGATTTTGAGAGATTTAAAGTGATTGATATACAAACGAAAAAAAAAGCACTACTCAATAAATGGATACTCATTATCGAAATTGAAAAGTTGTAGTATGGCATCAACATTGTGGATGAATATCATTATACCACTCACTCCAGATAAGTTCTTTCCCTTTGTGAATGTGGCTTGGGATATGTGGTGAGGAACGAAAATAATTATCCTTTTAGAGCAAGGAATGGATAAAAGACATGCCTTTTCAACAAGATACCCAAGGATTTTCAAGTTGGCAGTTAAAAAGATGAGGAAGAATTAAGGAATTCGACGAATGGAAAAACAATGTTTAAAGGAAGAAGATTGAGTTGAGAAGAAACCCTTTTGATAGGGAAAAAGAGAAGTGGAGTCATTTAATATGGTTATTACAAGAGTGTTCAGAGATGGAAAAAGATAGTGGGGAAAGGCTCACCAAGTGGCAATTATTCTGCCAATTTCTTTTATAGATCAATTATGACAACCTACAATGCGAGACTAGACTTTTGGCAGAAGATACGGGTGGGGCTTACATCTCATAAGTTGGAGACCTTTGTATGGCAAATATTTAAAGGAAAAGTGACAGTAAAAATGGAACTAGCTCATAGAGGAGTGGTAAGTAGTAGCTTGACAATATGTCCACTGTGCAACAAGGAAACGAAGTCGATAAGTCATCTATTCTTCACTTGTACGGAATCATGAAAGATTTGGGTAAAGTGGTGTCAATGTGGGGGATTGGACGAGTAACCCCTAAAATTGTCATTCCTTTCTTTTTGGCGTGTAATGACATGCATATTTCAAAAGGAAATGGGCAAGTATGGTGCATGGCATTCTCTGCTATTATATGATCATTTTGGTTCATACACAAGTAGATTGTTTTTAAAGGTAAACTGCAGAATGCTTAACATCTTTGAGAAAATGTGAAAATAAGAATTGCATGGCAGATTAAGGAAAAATGGTTGGATGAGAATGTTTTGACTTTGGATTTGTTTAGGTGTCCTATTCTCACATTAACTGCAAAGCCAACCAAAGAAAAGGAAACAACTTACACACGGAAAAACCCATTTCAGGGGTCACTGAAATTCAATGTTGATGAGGATGTAAGGGGATGCCCATGATAAATTGGAATAAAAGGTGTCTTGCACAATGAAACAGACACTATTCTGATTATTTTCTCTAAAGATGTGGGGATACAAGAGTCCAATGGTGTTGAACTATTGGCCATCAAAGAGGCCACCATTTTTACCACTTCTAAATGGGTTGATACACATATACTTATTGTGGAAAGTGAGTCAAGTAATTGGATTAAAAAGCCCTAGGAAGCTCCGTGGAGGATGAGGAGCTATATATTGCACATAAAGTACCTAAAAAATAGTTAAAAAGGTATGACATCCACCATATATATAGAGAAGCAAATGAGGTTGCTAATAACCTTGCAAAAAGTAGAGTGCAAAGAATGAAGGATCTCTTACCAGTGTTCTAACTGGAAATTGGTTTGAAGTTTATTAAAAGTCGGTCTTGTTAGAACGAATTGTCTATTGAAGATCCATTGCCTTGAAACAAAATGATTGGTCTATTTGTGTTACATGCTTGTGCTTTAAATTTATTATGCTACATACATCATTGAGGTTGTGCTATGAGGATGTATGTGATGGAAGGGCAGTATGGTGTTGCTTGGGTGTTGTTCTACTACTAGATGCCTAAAAAGAAAGAAAGTTGTGGAGGATGGGATAAGCAAGACATTTAGTGTGTGTTTGAGCTACAATTTCAAGTGTGGACACTCATGACTAGATGAAAATCGGGAGAGAGTAAGGAAAGTGTAGCTTTTGGGTTGAGTCGTTGGCAAATTGTTCCCATGCTACTATGCTAGGGCATTATGCTAGGGGTGAACTTGTTTTGTGTTCATTTACCAATCGTTATTGTGTAACTTGCTAGGGGAATTTGCTGGGTGTATCAATGCCTTTTCTCCCCACTTTGTTTTGATTGGTTTGAGCTCCGTTTATAAAGCTATTAATAAGAGTACAACTTATTTCAAAAAAAAAAAAGGCTCCATCTAAATTTTGCAAATGTCACGATTCTTTATCTCCCCTAATTATTTAGTTATAACTCATTCTCAAACTTTTTCTCCATTGGTGCCTTACTTTGCTAAATTACAATAATTTTTTGTCATGTCAATATCTACTTAATAATCATCAAATTATTCCCAATATATTTATTTTCCTACAAATCAAATCCAATCAACTCCCTAGTTGCAACTAAATTGACTGCTCCCAAGCACTCACAAAAATGCAATTATATGCCATAACATATAAGATCACTTACATGAAAATTATGACTTTGGCATCCCAGTTACCTCGTTGCAAACTTTATGAAACCAAGTGCAGTGCACATCCTTTTAAGCCTAACATACTAGAATGTCATATGGGAAAAGTGCACTTGCATATTTTTTTTCTTGAATAGTGATTACTCTAACGCAATTGCCTTACATGCAAAAAAGAATTTAACCATGGGAGAATCCAGAAGACTAGATTAATAAGTTCTCCTAAAATAGTTTATGTAGTTTAAATTTCACCGGTATTACTCGAGACATAAAGTAGAGCATCGCATTGGATGACACAGCTTTTTGCAATGTGATGATATATCCATCCTTTCTTTTCTTATTACTTTAACAGAATCACAATCTGAACATATATCTAGACTTCCCTAAAACTATTTAAACATCTTTTCCTCATCTCATGCTTAACGGAGGTACTTGATTCCTCTAATAAGTGTATCTAAAAGCACCTTAAGTCCAAATTCATCATCTACTTCATTCCTTCATTTCCACCTAAAGCTAGTTAGATCCTCTTCCAAATTAATTGCATTTCTCTTGCCGTGAGCCAAGTTCTCCCGCAGACTTCCTTTTGTTAAACCCATTACGAATGGCTCTTTCGTGATATCCTTTCACTTGATGACACTCCCCAACTTATCCCCAACAAACGTCTCTCATGTTTAACGTTTCACTGGGTCAACGTTAAACGTGCAAGACTTTATCAGCACTGAAGGGGACAGGCAATGGACCAAAGCGCTTGGTTTTTCGTTATCAGAGAGAAAAAAAGCGAAAAATGCTATATAAATAGATTGCTTCCTAAGAGGCTAAAATGAGAAAGGAAGAGACAATATCGTTACGTTGCATAAGAATATATCATGAGTCACTAGAAAAGCCCAGCAACACAAAAATCTGCTGCTGGCATCTTCCCGGTGACTTTAATCAATTCGATCGGTCACATACACATGGAGGAAATACAGTAAATAGAACGCTACAATATCATGCAGCAGCAGGGAAAATCTTTTTCCACGCAAAAGCAAACATCATAATATCGTAAAGCAATATCTTTCAAAAAAAAAATCATAATGCAACGACTAAAACTGCCGTAAATTTGGAGGTTTGAACCACATTTTAGAGCAACTGTACGTGATCAAAAATAAAGTTAAAAATAAATTAATAGAAAAAAAAAAAGATTCTTTTAGATTATAGTTACTTGTTACTTACTTTATATAAGAGCTGACTTGAACATGGGAAAGTACATACAAAAGATAAAACTAAATGATTTGGGCTTTTAAAGAAAACGGACTCGCTTTTGGAGCGAAACGCGCCTAGTTCCTAGAAATAGAAGCAGCTCTACATCCGTAGCGACCAACTACGGCAATAAAGAAGAGAAATATAATAATATATATATGTATATATATGAACAGAAAAAGAAATAAAAGAAAAGTCGAATACGTACACTAACAAAACAAAATGGGGGAAAAATCAACTTAGGTAGCACTAAAATGGTAAGGTTTCAAAATTGTTTGAATAATCTCTGACTTTCCGTTGACGCATCCCAAAACCAAAAGGCGGAGCAAAGACAGAAAGAAGAGAGAGATAGAGATAAAAGACTGACATAGAGGGAGACGAGCGTACCCGTCGGCGCTAGAGAACTCGTAGAGCCTGCCGCGGCTGGAGAAGATAACGAGAGCGATCTCGACGTCGCAGAGAACGGAGAGTTCACGAGCCTTCTTGATCAAGCCTGAGCGGCGTTTTGAAAAGGTGACTTGGCGACTGCTCTTATCTTCGATTCGCTTCATCTGCACCTTCCTCCTCCCCATTCTCGGATGGTTTTTCTCCTAATTTGTTCTAACAAATTGTTCTTTGCTTTTTCTTTTTTTTTTAATTTTTTGCTTTTTGTTTGTCTTGCAGAGAAAACGAGAAAAAGAAGAGGAGGAGCAACGCTGGAAGTTAATGGAATAATTGATACGGATGATTTACTTCAAAAGAAAAATGTGTGGCCAAGGTAGAGTAACTTAGTAGCAGTATTAGAAGCAGTTAAGTCGGTCGGTGTGTGGCCTTGATAACGGAATCGCAATGACACGTGGCTTGCGTGCATGGCGTCTTTCATTGCGGCTGCTTTTTCATTTGTGGGTGGCTTTTGGGGAGAGACCATTTTCCTCTATTGGCGCCCCTTTTTTTTCTAGAAAAAGGAATAACAAATAGGAAATGTGCAAAGACAAGGATTGACACACCATATTAGGCTAGGTGAAATAAAAAACAAAAACAAAACTAATCTTGTTCATCCAAAAGAATATCTCATTGCAATTGCCCTAGTCCTGAGCTGGAGCATTAAAGCTCGAGCCATCACCACATCAGCCAATCCAAGTTGAACAGTGGCTCTCCACAGAGGCGGAGGGGGTTGGGGGCGCTAGTGGGGGCCCCCGGCCCCCAATAATTTCAAAATTTTTATAAGTTATTTTTATTTTTTAAAATTTAATAATTTTACTCTTATAAAAATTTTAAATTTTTTTACATATTTTTAATTTTTTTAAATTTTTAAATTTTATCTTTATAATAATTTTTTATTTAATATACTTAATAATTAATTTTAATAAGACTAAAATAAAACCTATTAAAATAAAATTATTCTCAAATTTTATTTTTTCAAAACCTCACAACCTACCCCTCGTTTTTTTTTCTTTTACCCAAAACACTATAGAAACAAAAAAAAAA